GCTCTTTGGCCGTGTTCTGAAGGTTGTTCTTCCTGACGTTTCGCTAGTCTCTGTGGCCGGCATCTTCAGAAGACAGCATCTTCAGAGGACCAGAGCAGAGTGCTGTCCTCTGAAGATGCCGGCCACAGAGACTGGCGAAACGTTAGGAAGAACAACTTCAGAACACAGCCAAAGAGCCCCAAAAACCCACAACAACTATTGTAACAATTATTTGAACTACTTTGCATTGGTATTCTCTCTCTCTCTCTCTCTTTTCCTTTTTAGGTTATAGGAGCCTCTCAGGTGCAGTGGTTACACTGCAGTACTGAAGTCAAGCCTCTGCTCATCATGACCCAGGTTTGATCACAAAAGCCAGCTTGAGGTGGACTCTGCCTTCTATCCTTCCCAGGTTGATAGATTGAGTACCCAGTTCATTGTAAACAGTCCAGAGAGTGCTTTAACTGCTATGGGGCAGTATATAAGCAGCACACTTTGCATTACTTTGCTTACAGCAACATGTCTAGATCTTTACCAGATACAGGACCATGACTGGCCTGCACTGAGCAACAGAAGCTCTGCTGGAAAGAAGAGCTGAAAGATGTTGAGAGACAGATGATGCTTGATTAGAGATCATCCAACTGAGTTTTTAAACAACTGAGCCAGATCTGTGAGCAAGAAATCCCTCCATTCCACTGTCAGGGTTGGGAATGTCAAGATGTGAAATGTTGAATATATAGAGTGTTAAAACAATTAAAGGTGTGTAGAAAAGCAGCCCTTGAAAATGTCATTAGTAGTTTGTTGTCATTAGTATGTGGACGACACCCACATCTCTTTCTCTTTTCCATCTAAATCCAAGGAGGTGGTTTCAGCTCTGGATGAGTATCTAGTGTCAGTAATGGACTGAGTTTCCCATCAGACTCCACCCCCAGGACTCCAGGAAATGTAGCAACTGCCAAAGCATCGCTTGCATAGTTTCAAAAGGGTGATCCAGTCAAAAAACACCCAGGCTCATGCCATTACTCCTTACCCTGCAAGGTGGCACTTCTGTCCATTTCCTCCTGGTTCCCCCCTTGCAAGGGACCCTGCATGTTGTCCAAGGGAGCCTTCTGCATCTCAGGAAAATAAGACAGAGCCTCCAGAGAGAAGCCTTTATCCTGAAAGAACAGCGGGCATAAGCCATAAAATGAGGAGAAGGTACAGAATAAAAACCATCTGGGGAGAAATCTGGATGTGTTGGGCTGGAACTAGAAGGTGGGACATTCACCCTGGGGCAACGGATATCATATTTGGGATATCATATTCTTGACCCTGTAGAGACAGGTGAGCAACCTCTATGGTGTTTATGGGACACGGGCCACGGCAGCCACATGGCATAGTGTGGCTGTGGCAGCCATAAAATCTGGTATTTCCTTTGAAAACAACATGCAAAGAGAGCGAACACCATTCTATTTTAAAATGCAAGCCGTGATTCTCCTTTAAAAGAAAAGGAATGCTCCTCCTGAGAGAAAAGGAATGCTCCTCATCATCCTTAACTGCAGCATCAGAAGTGACCCAACAGATCGTCCAAGTCCAGCCCCTGTCAAGGAGGCCCAGTGGGGGGAATCAAACTCCCAACCTCTGGCTCTTTAGCCAGAGACCTAAACCACTGAGGTGTCCAGCAGAAAATGAGGGATACTGCATCCAACGTTAGTGGAATGGCCACAGATCTGACACTGGTTGTGGAGATGTTAAAGGGGGGCAGTAGTGGGGATTGAGAAAAACAAGCACATGATGCCACATGTGGCCCATGTGCTTTCAGAGTAACCAGAAGGAAATGCTCTCTCTCACCTTCTGCTCTTCCAGCCTCTTCTCCTCCGCCTGACTCAGGAGGAAGCCTTTGGCCAGGGCCACCGCCTGGGAACTGCTCTCCGCTCCACATTCCCGCACCCAGCTCTCCAGCTCCTGCGGAAGGACGGCCAGGAACTGGTCCAGGATCACCAGGTCCAGGATCTGAGCTTTTATGTTTCTTTCTGGCTTCAGCTACTGCCAGCAAAGATTATGGAATCGTGTGCAAGCCTCTCGGGGGGTCCGCAGCCTCTTTGCAGGAGGATCTTCTGAAGTGCCGGCACGGCACTCTCTCCCGCAATTCCCCACTCCTTCAACTCTGCATCCTGTGGGCGTCTTCTCCTGCTCTGAGGCCAGCTGAATCTTCCTCCTCCACCTGCTCCAAGGAAGCCTCTGGTGGAGTCA